TTTTTTTCTTCATATTTTTACCTTACAAGTTACTATATGTGTCATCATTTAAAAGGTGGTCTAAGTGATTTCACGCCGTTTGTGTATGAATGATCATTTAACCCTATCTGAACGCATTTGCTAATCGTTCAACTTAACCAACCAAAGGTAAAAAGTGTTTTCATTCATTCTACTGATTTAGATCACCTTTAAAATTATGGAACATAAACATATGTTAATGTTGCATAGATATGTACCTAAATAGTTCTTTCTGTTCACGCGTCAGCTCCAGTGTAATCATTACACTTTGCTTACTACCAGCAATGTCTTTGTCTAACTGAAAAGTCTCAATTGCTGGCTCTTCAATCGTTTCTTTGTAGGCAATTTGTAGTGGCCCAAGATCTACATCGATTTTATATTCGGTGAGTATGCGAGATTTTACAATATCCATATGCAGTTCACCCATGCCTGGAAATTAGATCGATTTAATTAGCGAGTAAACGTGGAGACACTATAAATTCAAACCCGATTCGTTGGTTTCTTACCACCCAGTACTGTTTGTCCAGTAACAGAGTCGTAGTTCACACGCAAGCTGGGATCTTCGCGCTGCAATTGCTTTAGCGCTGCCTCCATGGCATTCTGAGTCGCTAAGCTAGGTGGTTCGATGGAGCAAAAGTAGACAGCGTCAGGTATTTGTGGCTCTGTGGCGAATATCTCACTCACTAGGGTAGCATCAGTATCGCTCTCGTCGGGAGTTACATGGTTTTCAGGTAATTTCAGTGTTTTTCCTAAACGCTTTTGTGCACTTTTTAGTGTGGAGGCACTTGCCGTCAACAGATCACCAGTAACTGTATGCTAAGGGATGAATTTCGTAAGAATGGAAAACAGTTGTAATGTAATTAAAAAATATTATTTGGTTCTTACTCTACCTTCAAGCCAGCACATATTGCTACATCTCCTGCTGGCACTCCACTAATTTCCCGGTACTCATCTGCTAAAGGCTCATAAACTTTGCTAATCACCTCTGCAGTGTTGCGTGTGGTAACCAAACGTGAGCCTTTCTTCAATTCCCCACGAAACACGCGCACTAACGTCAAGGTACCACGTTGCTTGTCGTGCACAATTTTAAAAACTTTGCCGACAAAATCTTCACTATATCAGTGAGGTTGCATTAAAAAGGTAGGTAGGATAGTATATCGATACCTGAGTGGAAGATCGACCTATCTCGGCAGCCAGTTCGAAAACGTCCTATCTCAGAAAACTTCAAGTCCTATATCTGAATTTGGCTGAAGAACGCCCGATCTCAGCACATTTTCAATGTATTTAATGTTTTTTGATCGAATTCTGAGATGGGTGTTTTTCAATAAAACTATGAATTACGGCATTGTTCAATAAAATTTTGAAGTAAGGCGTTCTTGAAAAGTTTTCTGAGATAAGTCGTTTTCGAATTGGCTTTTCAGATAAGTCGATCTTTCAATCAGGTGACGATATGGTAACAAAATTGTATTGTACAATAGTTCATTACCCAAAACAATCGTAAAGCTGGCTGCGTTCATGAGGTGCTGGTAAATAATCAATGACTGCATCCATTACGAGCTGAATGCCTACATTTTTGTATGCCGAGCCAACAAGCACTGGCACCACCTTACGCCGCGCTACAGAGCGTCGCAAGGCTTGTTGGATTAGCTCGTTGCTGACTTGTTCGAAACCTTCACTATTTATAACTACCTGCGCTAGCTCATCATCGATACCGGAAAGCTCATCTATCAGGGTGTAACGTTTCTCTTGCAACTCTGCCAGATGTACATCTAAAGGTGGCTGTGCTGAATACTCGCGACCCAAACTTTCAGTATTCCAAGTGAAAGTTTGCTGTGTGATTACATCCAATATACCTAAGAGGCATAATTTATTATCTATACGTATATTTTTTTATTATAAACATACTTACCCAAATTTCCCTTATCATCCTTCAATGGCGACTGTAAGCAAATGGGTTTTACATCCAATTTCTGCGACAAGTCGTGCACGCAGGCCATGAAATCTGCGTCCGGACGATCCATTTTATTCACAAATACAAGTTTGGGCAAACGATGTTTTTCAGCTTGTGACCATACCGTGATTGTTTGTGCTTCGACGCCAGCTGTGCCATCTAACACTACAATAACACCGTCCACAGCGTGCAGCGACTGCTCCACTTCCATAGTGAAGTCTATATGACCCGGGGTGTCTAAAAGATTTATTCTAAAAATAAAAGATACAATCAATAATCAACATTTCTTTGGTTGTTGCTGTTATATAAATTCTCCAAAGAGATTTTGGGGAACGATGCTGGAGTGACAGTCTATGGCCAGGTATAGATCTGGGTCGTTCCAGTTTCGTATATCCGACTGTCGTGGGAACGACATTTCATTGGTACAACCCACTTGTGTCCACGCCAGTTGAAAGCGACCGCCGAGCTGCATATCGTTATACCGCGCTCACGCTCCTGCGTGAGGTAATCTGTAACAGTGTTCCCGCGATGCACTTCGCC